ACTACCACCGCCACCACCAAATCCACCTGTTTTGCCTGAGCAACAGAAACGAAATTGTGATGACCGAGCACCAGAGAACCACGCTCCTAAGGCGCGGAAACGCGTCAACATGATAATGGGGGCCATCGAAGCTTGCAGTTATTCGGTCCGAGCCATCAAAGAGTACAGCAGACAGGCCGCCAGCACGCCCCATGCCCCGCATGATCCGCCGAAGGGAACGCCCTTGGTATTTACCGAGGCCGATACAATCGGGCTGCATAAACCACATAACGACGCCCTCGTCGTCGAGCTGCTCCTCGACGATGTCGAAGTTAGCCGCATTCTGGTCGATACGGGCAGCTCGGTTAACGTTATCTTCAAGGAAGCACTTGACCAACTCGAGTTAGCATCAGATAGGATTGAACCGTTAATCGAACCACTTACCGGATTCGATGGGGAACGTTGTATGACGGTCGGCATGGTCAACATTCCGATCTACGTCGGCGGAGTCGCAAAGATTATCAAGTTCCTTAACCTCGATAAACCGGCGATCTACAACGCTATTCTCGGAACACCTTGGCTACACGCAATGAAAGCAGTCGCCTCAACGTACCATCAATGCCTAAAGTTCCCGACTCCCGACGGTGTTTACACTCTCCGAGGAAACCAAGCCGTTGCTCGATCGTGCTACATAAACGAATGCAGACTTCATTCGGCCAACCAAGCTTGTGTTATTAGCTCGTTAGGACCGACTGAGAAGCTCATCGTCCCGAATACAAAACCTAAACAGGAGTCGATCGTTCAAGTTTGCATCGACGAACTAAGGCCAGAGCGTCAAGTCAGAATCGGCGCCGAGCTCGACCCAGTCATCCGCGAGCCAGTCATTCACTTTCTGAAACAGCATTCATCGACCTTCGCTTGGTCGGAAGAAGATATGCCCGGGATTGATCCACAGATCGCGTGTCACGAGCTCAACAATGATCCAACGTATAAGCCAATCAAGCAGAAACGCTGAAAGCTCGGACCAGAGAAAGCACAAGCCGTGAACGATGAGGTCGAGCGTTTACTCAAAGCCGGATCCATCACCGAAGTCAAATACCCAGATTGGTTAGCAAACCCCGTGGTCGTAAAGAAGAAGAACGGTAAATGGAGGATCTGCGTCGACTTTACCGACCTCAATAAGGCGTGTCCGAAAGATAGCTTTTCGTTGCCTCATATCGATCGCCTCGTGGAAGCGACTGCCGGGAACGAGCTACTCTCGTTTATGGATGCGTTCTCCGGGTACAATCAGATTCTTATGCACCCGCAAGATCGGGAGAAGACATCGTTCATCACGGATCGTGGCATCTACTGCTACAAGGTCATGCCCTTTGGCCTGAAAAACGCTGGAGCAACGTATCAACGACTGGTAAACCGGATGTTCGCGAGCCAGCTCGGGCGAACTATGGAAGTTTACATCGATGATATGCTCGTAAAGTCACTCGTCGCCTCCGATCACGTCGGCCATGTTCGCACATGTTTTGATATCTTGGATCAGTATGGTATGAAGCTAAATCCAACTAAGTGTACGTTCGGCGTGACATCTGGAGAGTTCCTCGAATACATTGTTACACGGCGAGGCATTGAAGCTAATCCAAAGCAGATCGCCGCTATTCTCGGGCTCCCGTCACCAACAACCAAACGTGAAGTTCAGCGACTTACCGGACGGATCGCAGCACTTAATCGGTTCATATCCAGATCGACGGATAAGTGCTTACCTTTCTACCAACTTCTTCGCGGTAACAAGCATCTCGAATGGAATGAGAAGTGTGAGGAAGCCTTCGCCGAGCTAAAGAAATACTTGTCCACTCCTCCAGTTTTATCCAAACCAGAAACCGGCGAGACACTTTATCTTTACATCGCGATTTCAGAATGCACAGTCAGCAGTGTTCTCGTTCGAGAAGATCGCGGCGAACAGAAGCCAATTTTCTACACAAGCAAGTCCCTCGATGGATCGGAGTATCGCAATCCGACTTTGGAGAAATTCGCCTTTGCCATTGTCATTTCTTCACGGAAGCTACGCCCGTACTTCCAGTCTCACGCGATCGTGGTCCTAACCGATTACCCTCTTTGTACCTTCCTTCATAACCCAAGTCAGTCCGGACGACTCGCTAAGTGGGCTATCGAACTCAGTGAATATGACATCAAATACCGCGACAGAACAGCAACGAAGTCTCAAGTCCTAGCAGATTTCTTGGTCGAACTCCCACCGGAGCTCGTCAAAGATAAGCCGGTCGTACAACCCTGGATTCTTCACGCCGATGGTTCATCGTCCCATAAAGGATCCGGAGTCGGAATTCGTCTAAAATCACCCGAAGGAGAAGTTATCGAGCAGTCGTTTCGTCTCGGCTTCCCAGCATCCAACAACGAAGCCGAGTACGAAGCATTGATTGCCGGACTACGACTCGCCAAAGGCATCGGCGCCGAGCACGTACACGCCTACTGCGACTCTCAACTCGTGGCTAACCAGTTTCACGGCGAATACGAGGCCAAGAACGACCGCATGGACGCATATCTCAAAGTCCTTAAGGATGTCGCTTTGGAGTTCTCTACCCTCGAGCTTACAAAGATACCTCGAGATGAGAATGCAACCGCCGACGCCTTAGCTGCTCTCGCGACTAATTCCGATCCTGACCTTCGGCGAACCATCCCAATTGCGGCAATTGAGCGACCAAGTATCGAGCCCGCTCCGAACTGCAACATCATTACAAGACGACGTGACTACGAAAACCAACCCAATCTCGCCCCACCACTCACCCGGAAGACGAAACCCAAAGGGGTCATTCCCGATCACGACAACAATCCCGAAGACGAATCTGAAGGACAACACGTTCCAATCGATATCGAGGCCGAAGGCGAGGACGAACCCGAAGATTGGACCTTAGAAATCGTGGGATACATCGGAGACGGAACAGTCCCTGCGGATAAATGGGCAGCTCGGTGCCTTAAAGCTCGCGCAGCTCGATATGTGGTCATTAAAGGTACTCTTCTCAGATGAGATGCTTCCGGTGTACGTTTGACTTGTGTTCGCGGCAACGACATCATGGAAGTAATGCAGAAGGTTCACGAAGGCGAAGGAGGCAATCATTCCGGAGCTCGGTCTTTGGCATTCAAGATCAAAAAAGCTGGCTATTACTGGCCCACTATGCTTTCTGATTGCGAGAAGTATACGGCATGCTGCGAGAAGTGCCAACGTCATGGTCTGATGATCAATCTTCCTACCGAGCTCCTGATGACCTCGACCGCACCATATCCTTTCATGCGCTGGGCAATGGACATCATCGGTCCCTTTCGCCGATCTACAACCCAGAAGCAGTATGTTCTGGTCGCCACGGATTACTTCACCAAATGGGTCGAAGCTGAAGCATACCTTGAGATCCATGGAATTGATGTCAAGAAGTTCGTCTGGAAGTTCATCATCTGCCGACACGGAGTCCCGTACGAGATCGTTACGGACAACGGAACCCAGTTCACTTCGATCATTTTCCAAGATTTTTGCGCCAAGTGGAAAATCCGACTAAGTTTCTCTACCCCGCGGTACCCGCAAGGAAACGGACAAGCCGAAGCCACAAACAAGACCATCATTGACGGACTAAAGAAACGACTCGATACCGCTAAGGGAACCTGGGCGGACGAACTTGACGGCGTCTTATGGTCTCACCGAACTACACCACGACGTTCAACCGGTCAATCACCATTCTTCCTTGCATATGGCGCAGAAGCTATGTGTCCAGCCAAACTCAACGTCCCAAGTATTCGCCGAACTATGCTTACCAAGCAACCCGACGCGAATAACAACATGATGATCGACGCACTCGACTTAGTCGAAGAACATCGCGAACTACCAAACAGCTTGCAGCTCGTTACTACAACAAAAAAGTTAAGGGCCGTCACTTTGAAGATGGCGATCTCGTACTTCGCAAAGTCTATCAAAACACAGAAGAAAAGAACGCAGGAAAACTTGGCGCGAACTGGGAAGGACCATATCAGATTATGAAGGTTGTTAAGCCCAGTGTTTATCAACTCATGAAGTAAGATGGAACTCCGATCCCGCGATCTTGGAACTCAATGCATCTCAAACGATACTACTACTAGTTCGTTTCGAGCATTGGAAAAAAAAAAAAAAAAAAAGCCTCCGAACTACTTAGTCGGAGCAAAAACCCCTTTTGTACTTAGAACTACGAATGGCTTGATCCCTTTAAAGGGTACGTAGGAAACTCGTTACCGAGTCCAGCTATAACATCAATAAAATTTTATTAAGTCAAATATGACTAAGTTTTAGTTCGGAACTCACAAGGGACCGAACTCCTTGTCTTTACATCGACTTCATGGCCAGTTGTTCGATAGCATTCCACATGAATACAAACTTAAAAGCCGAGATCCGTCTCGCGAGCACCCACATGGTGTCGTGGTTAAGCCACATATCAAAAGCCGGGCCCAGTCCCGCAGTTGAATTTCTAAGTCACCAAGAACAATAAGCCGAGCACATCTCGCATACTTAGGTTCGACTTAGAAAAACCTTGAACTCGTTTCGTGCGTTTACAGGAGTTCAAACTAGTTCACTCTTCCAGTACGAAACGATTCACTTGGGTTCCCCAGGCCGAGCTTAAACGCTCGCACAATAAGCCGAACTCCTCAGATTCGCAGCATAAGCCGAGTTCACAACACTCGCAAAACGTAAGCCGAATTATCGCAATTCGCTATCGAAAAATAAAAGTTGATTCAAATAGCATCTACGATATGCTGCTCTAGTACTTTAGCATTAATCACAAATCGTTACCGACGTAAGAGGGTCGAAAGCTAAGTTAGATACCGATCTACTACTTTAAGAAAACAAGAAAAAAGACGGAAGATCATATAATTAAAAACCTCCCGAGAGGCAAATAAAGTCAAAACCCACCAAGGGCTCGGAATAAGAGTTACAAAAGGAAAACCCATGCAAGGGCAGTTAAGTTCGAGAATAAAATAAGAACAGGAAAAGATTAAACGGTCTTCGAAGCAGCAGCGTTAAGTATGTCCTCGTTTGAGCCGAACTGCTCACCCCTCGCAGGATCCTGCACGCTCTGGGTCACGTTCGCAACCGGAATATCATCTTCCTCCACGAACGGAGACATCCTCTTGTCCTCCTCGGTGAGAACGCAAGCATCGATTGCATGGAAGTCCTCCAGCGCCTTGGCGTGTTTTGCTTCAATATCGGCAACCATTTCTGGCGGGACCTCGTACAAGCCCTTCTTCCGCAACTGCTTGATGAAACCGAGAACTCCCGTAAGTTGGTTGACCACCAAATACGGCTTGCGAGCACGGTCCGTGTCGTCCAAACTATGGATAACTTTTTCCAGGCGTTCGCAAGCCGTGTCATGGACTTTTCTCGCTCGGCCCTTCCAACGTGCAACCAATTCTCGTAGCCTCTCTCGGTCTTTCTCGAACTCCCTCGCCAGCATATTTTGAGCCTCAGTCATTTCGGCTCTCACCGCCTTTAGCTCCGCACTCTCCTGTTTTAATAACTCCATCGAAGAGTGCAAGGTTTCATTGATTTGGGGCTCGGTCGCAAGACGTTCCTCCGCTCTCGTAACCCTTTCCTCGAGCTCGGTGACCCTCACTTGCTCGTCAAACAGTGCCACCTCGTAAGCGGCAACTAGATTGTTGGTTTGGCTAGCAAGCTGCGGAAAAGAAATCTCGAATCAGAATTCACACTTAAGATAATTAAATAAAGAGAGTAGAATCAGAAGGTTACCACAGCAGTTGTACGTGCGATTCCCTTGTACATGTTAGGGAACCGGAGCTCGGGGACCGATGGGAGACTCGGGACCTCGGTCGAGATTTTATGGTATAGTTCGGCACAAGCATCAACGTTCTCCTCGAAGGGGGTTTCTTCGTCGTAGTCAAAGAAAACCTTGGCCCTTTTAGCTGGCTCTGAGCCTGGAGATCCTTCGGTCTGGTCCCTTTCCTGTCTTTTTCTGGACCGAGAGGCTTCACCTCGATCCTGAGGTAGTGCAAGATCCGACGTTACGGCTGTGGGTGGCTCGGCTTCAGCAGGAGCATCTTGTGCTCGGGAGGAATCTTCAGTCCTCTTAGTCTTCTTCGAAGACTTCTTCTTTTTCAGCTTTCTCTGACCAGCATGGTCAGGGGAGTTCGCGGCGAGCTGCGGATCCTCAGGTTGCACCTGGACCACGTCGGTGGCAGCGATAGGGTTCAGAACCGTTTCAGTCGGTTCTTCCTCGTCAAAAAGAGTGGGAATTTCATCCAAGGAAAGCATTCTGGCAGCTCGGGATCGTTTAGCTTGCGGCTTCGGTGTCCTACGTCTAGAAGGGGCTCGGGGCCTATTAGCTCGCGCCTTTGGTTTTCGTGGCTTTGGTTCTCGGGCGGAACCTGAAAGGAAAATATATTAAGGAGGAGTTCGGAGTAAATTCAAAATCAGAGAAGTAAAAAGAAAGAACTCAAGAGACAAACCTGCTTTCTTAGCTCGACGATCGAGAATTTCCTCCCAAACTTCAGGCCAGCGATGCTTGCCGGCTTCGCTGAAGGTTGCTTCGAACTCGGAGGTGAGTCCGGAATTGAGGATGAGACTTGGGAGATGACGACCTGCGAAGACCCGAGAAAGAATTAGTCAGATACAGAAATGAAAAATTAACAAAGTACAAGTTCGTCTAGAGCTACCAATCGGAATCTTCCACTCCGATTGAACTGGGATGTCAGAGTTGCTGACAGTGAGATCGTTCATCTCTAGGAAAAAGTATAAGGACTCCCAGTCGTTGAATTTACTGGGTTTGGGACCGGTCACTATGTTCTTCTTCGGCTTAGCATTAGCAGCGAAGAACCATTCCTTGGACTTATGGATGTTCACCGAGAAGAGATCTTCGAACAATCGGCTGGAAGGAAGTTGGCCGAGTTCGTCGCACAAAGTAACAAACCCCACATAGTTCGTCACTGAGGCTGGCATCACTTGTGAGAGAGCTACACCATGCCAATTACAATACCCGAGAAGATGAGAGGGGATTGGAAGTGTGAGTCTGCACTGCGTGAAATAATTTAGATAGACGCAGAGAAAGCCTTCGGGCACGTCCCACCGCTGATCCCCGGCTTCGGGGATTATGAAGGCGACCTGACCTAAGAGCCCATTTTCCTCGAGCACGGCCTGGATAGCGCCCGAAGAAACCGAGGAGGACAGTACGTTGTTGGGGCGAACGACCCTTCGTCTCGGAAGAGGCGGTGAAGCATGGTTCACCGCTTCAAGGTTGTCCTCGGCGATTTCTGCTTCATTGGCGTCAGCTTCCTGACCCTCTCCTTCAGGTTCTTCGACCTCCTCGATCTCGTGGTCGATACTGCCAGCGTTCGGTCAAACGCGAGCTCCTGTCTCGCGAGTTTCTGCTGTCAACCGTTCGGTAGCCTCGACTCTAGGTCTAGCACGGCTACTGCTCGCCTCCACTGACTTGGAATTCTTACGAACTAACTGTGGAAGGTTGCTTTCTTCCTGAGACGAGTTCGATTGATGAGGATTCGAAGAGGAGGAGCTCGGTTCAGAAGATTCGCGTCGATCTTCTGGAAGGATTTGATTGGAAGATGAGTTAATGGAAGAACTGGAAGACATTTTGAGTTCGGAAGAACAGATTTAAAGGAGACCTAAGAAGAATGAAGAACAGCTTGAAAATCAACCGGAAAAGATTGAAGATCGAACGGAAAGTTTGAAGATAGCTCGGAAAAATCAAGGGTTCGCGGCGGCGAGCGTTGAAGAGACGAGAGGAAACAAAGAACAAAAGCTAGAGAGAGAAATGAAATCTAGAGAGAAGGGAGAGCAGCGTACCTTATACATGCTTGAGGCGAGAATAATGAATGCGAGAAGAAGTTTGCCTTTATACACAGTGGGAATCGTGGGTTCCTCGATTTTCGCAAAGATCCCGTAATTCACGCGCCTCATTGAAGACAGGGGCGAAACGTCCGGGAATGCGAATCGATGGCAGTTGCCGAGCTCGGTTCGTGATCCATTAACTAAGAAATGAGTTCGACTGAAAGTCATCCCCTTTCACCGAACTGAAGGGGGGGGGGCTAACTGTTGGAGGTGAAAACCGCACCCCGGTTTTCTCCGGTACAAACCGAGATCGGCAAACCATAAGCCTGGTTTACGAAGGGACGTACCGAGAAAAGATGGGCCGAACAAAGATGGGCCGAATACGGCCCATCGGGCCGAGGTCGGTAAGAAACCTCTCGAAGAAATAGAGAGTTTCCATGAGCTCGGTCGAAACAGGAAAGTTTACTAATGGAAAAAAGAAACTTGGGAGAGAAAAAGAAAGGAACCGAGAGAAAAGGAAACTCCTCTCGGTCCCATATCGTCTAAGGCAGGCTTGAAGACCGACTTAGGAGATATATATAAAGGGAGACGAATCGACACCAGAGAACACAAGTTATTTCCCGAGAAGACTTAAAGACTGAGAACTCATTACAATAGCTTCTTAATCGCATTAAGTCTTAGTTCGTTATTACCTATCAAAATAACCGAACTCAGTTGTATTTTGCTTGATTCGATCTAATAAAACCGAGCTTCCGATCTAAATTACTGTTTAGTCCCTTGTCGATATTTGCATATCAACAATTGTTATTAATTATGTGCATCTAGTAATATTAATATTAATACTTAAACATGCTAGTATATATTTATTTGTGATATTATGAGTTTACACTCAATGACGATATATAAAATATATATACAGATTTTTCTCAACTTACATGATATAATAGATGTACAAACCACTAAGCCAGTTTGGAGTATACATAAGAAAAATTACTTTCATATAATCTAGCAGTCCGAGCCAAACAGCGACATAACTATTAAAAATAGGAGAACTGAATGAAATATGAAGTTCAAACTTGAATTTAGAAGGGGAAAGAATGTCGACCATTAATTTGATTGGTGCATACGTCATATTCATCAGATTCATATAGTTAGTCTTGAAATGAGAAACGTTGAGTTGATGAACTGGTTAAGTCCGTCTGAGAGCTTCAAACTCCGAGTATATGTTGGAGGTGAAAACCGCACCCCGGTTTTCTCCGGTACAAACCGAGATCGGCAAACCATAAGCCCGGTTTACGAAGGGACGTACCAAGAAAAGATGGGCCGAACAAAGATGGGCCGAATACGACCCATCGGGCCGAGGTCGGTGAGAAACCTCTCGAAGAAATAGAGAGTTTCCATGAGCTCGGTCGAAACAGGAAAGTTTCCTAATGGAAAAAGGAAATTTGGGAGAGAAAAGGAAAGGAACCGAGAGAAAAGGAAATTCCTCTCGGTCCCATATCGTCTAAGGCAGGCTTGAAGACCGACTTAGGAGATATATATAAAGGGAGACGAATCGACACCAGAGAACACAAGTTATTTCCCGAGAAGACTTAAAGACTGAGAACTCATTACAATAGCTTCTTAATCGCATTAAGTCTTAGTTCGTTATTACCTATCAAAATAACCGAACTCAATTGTATTTTGCTTGATTCGATCTAATAAAACCGAGCTTCCGATCTAAATTACTGTTTAGTTCATTGTTGATATTTGCATATCAACAATATAGGGCTCAAAACCGCTGGTATCGCAGACTTGGAAGAATTTTCTTGCGATCTTGATCTCACCATGTAAATTAAAATAAACATGTATTTATGTAAATTAAAATGATAAATTACACTGAATCCAATAAAAAAAATTGATAATTAGATGATAAACGCGGCCGAGAATCGTCAATGGCGCTTAGAACCGCGTAAATAACTAAACATCTAAATTCAATGCACAAAAGATTTTTTTTTTTCTTTTCATAGCAAAAAAAAAGATTTACTATGGTAGATTGCCGTCTGATGTCTATTCAAACTAGTGGGTTTATTCAAATTTAATGAGACTGCAATTATTTCACCATTATGACTCGAATAATTAGTACGTACGATGACATTTAACTTAGTCATCATGCGACCCATTATCTATACCGTAACATGGGTCCGGCCGCCCATGCTCCATGCTCTATACTCCATGCCATGTACGTTTGACCGATATGAAGTTCTCTGAACCAACATACCATGACAAGATTGGAGTTATGTCGCCAGCTACAAAAGTCGTGTAATGCGCTAGTTAATATGATGTAGCCCTTATGCGTCACGTGTCTAATTGTCTATGGATATATATGGGGTCTAATTTTGTCCATATTAAAAAAAATTGTAGCTCTATGTAATTTTGTTTTTCAAAAAAAAAAAAAAAAAAAAGAGAACTGTTTTCTAAGTAGAAGATATAATTTTATAGAGGAAAGAAGAACAACTATAAGAAGACTAACAAGGATTGGAATACATAGAATTATTGTTGGAAACGGAATTATGTTACTAGTATTAATTTTCTTTAAGAATTATATAATTTATTAGGATATATTTAAGATATTTTAAATCATTAAAATATTATATTTAAAATTTATTATTATGATTGAAAAAATAAATTTATCATCATATTTTGTTTGAGACCTCGAAAGTATTAAGACTGATATATGTAGTTGGTTGTTTTTTTTTTCTCATTTCAGCTATTGATGAGTTACTAAGATTTCCAACCAATCACCACTTTCATATGCTTATAACGGTTTCAGTTAGATAATAAATCACGGTTAGATGTTTGTTAGTTACCATGGTTGAATAAAATTTTGGCTCTCGTTCAATTTGAAGGAGAACACTATTTGTCTTTCTTTTGTTTGAAAGTCTTAGTGGAATATACAGAGAATCTTTGTAAGTCTACGGTAGATGAAATAAGAACCAACTATTAGAAGAGTAACAAGGATTGGATTACATTATATTATTTTTTCTTAATTCCTAAATTATTGTTGGAAACAAAATTATTGTTACCTTTTATAAGATGTATTCTCCAGTTTTCCAATTTTCTCTTCAAATCTGCCCAATGTTGCGATTAAAATTTTACCTGGTTACTTGATTATTCCCAACAAGAGTACCAACATATGTAAATATGTAAAAAATACACACACGGATAATCGGCTGGTAGCACAAAATTATTGCTTGAAATATTGTGTAATGCGCTCATTAATATGATGTCGTCTAAAAAAAACATTATTTATATATCTTTTGTTCAAAGTTTTAATGGATATGCAGAGAATCTGTAAAGTCTGCTGTCCCTAATAACTATAAATATACCAAAGAGTTCAATCAAGTTTATTGTCTCTCTATCTTTGGTAATTTCCAAGAAAAAACAAACCTTTTCTAACTAATGGCTTACATAGGCTTACTTGAAGTCTTTATAGCTATCCTTATCTACATTTTTTTCCATTTCTTGATCCACAAGAAACCCCACAAAATCTTACCTAGAAACTGGCCTCTTCTTGGGATGCTTCCTGGTGTGGTCGTCATGCTTCACAGGATTAATGGCTATCTCGCAGAGATTCTCGAAGTCTCCAACTTGACTTTTGTATTCAAAGGCCCATGGTTCTCTGGAATGAACATGTTGATCACTGCAGATCCTGCAAACGTTCAACACGTTTTCAGTTCCAACTTCTCTAATTATGACAAAGGATCGGAGTTCAAAGAGATGTTTGATTTTCTAGGAGAAGGCATCTTCACTGCTGACTCGAAACTCTGGGAGGAAATGAGGAGATCCTCTCTGGTCATGCTAAGCCATCAAGGGTTTCAAAGCTTCTCACTGAAGACCATTGCGAGTAAAATCAAGAACGGGCTTGCGCCAGTTCTTGATCATTTTGCTGAGGCGAATACAGTTTTCGATTTACAAGACGTGTTCCAGAGGTTAGCATTCGATGTAACCCTTACGCTGGTAACGGGTTACGATTCTAATTCTCTTTCCATTGAAATGCCGAAGAACGACTATGCGAAAGCTATGGATGATGCTGAAGAAGTGGTTGTAGTTAGGCATGTTAAGCCTATGATATTGTGGAAGATGCAAAACTGGATTGGACTGGGAGGAGAGAAGAAGATGACAAAAGCTAATGCTACTTTTGACAGATCTTGTGCGGAGTATATATCTGCAAAGAGAGAGGAGATAATAAGTCAGAGGATTCATCAACACTCCACAATTGAAGAGAAAGCTCATGATGTGGATTTATTAAGCTTCTATATGAATCTAGATACTTCCAAGTACGAACTTTTGAACCCTAAAGACGATAACTTCCTCAAAGACATCATCAAGAGTTTCATGCTTGCCGGAAGAGACGCCATTGCCACAACTCTCACTTGGTTCTTCTGGCTTCTCTCCAAGAACCCTGAAGCTGTGACAAAGATCCGTGAAGAGATAAAAAATAATCAACCAAGATCCGGCAAGAGTTTCGATCCAGACAAGATAAGCAAGATGGTGTATTTACATGGTGCATTGTGTGAAGCATTAAGGCTCTACGCTCCAATCCCGTTCGAGCGAAAGTCTCCCATAAAGCAAGATGTGCTTCCGAGTGGACACAAAGTAGATGCAAACTGGAAGATTTTATTTTCTGTCTATGCGTTGGGGAGAATGAAAGCCGTGTGGGGAGAGGACGCGTCTGAATTCAAACCAGAGAGATGGGTCTCTGAGAGAAATGGAGGCTTAAAACATGAACCTTCTTTCAAGTTCTTCGTGTTTAATTCTGG